GGATTGCTTGTATAGCCAATAGAAAATAGACAAAACATCTTTATTGGGATCAAATAAAGGCAACAGTAGTATACCGCTATTCGAAATTCATAAATCGATTGAGAAAAAAACAAAAAACAAATAGTTTTAAGTTTATAGAGTTTGCCTTATGCTGGTTAAAGTTAGTATAATGAGTTTTAATTGCTTTTATTATGGATTGTTATATTATTACTGATATTGAAATGAAGGAAAAGGTGTTCCTCGTCATTAAAAATTTTGCAAACTTTACAAACTCTATGTTCTCTTGGAATTTTCTTGGATTGACCTATTTCAATTTCCAAGTTATGGCCACTTACACGGAATTTTGTTAAAAGTTGAAAACTATTAAATTTTCTTATATTGTGCAAGTAGTCTTTCAATTTAATTTATTTCATTTTTAAGTTTATTATAAAGATAACAAAACAAAATCAAGCTGCTTTGTTTAAAAAGAGCCAAATCAGAAGTAGCATGTACAAGTTCTGGAAAACCAAATATGAAAGAAGAAGGAAGTGAAAATAGTGTATAACTTGTAAAAACGGGGAAAAACAAAGCTTACATAATGTACATATGAAATTGTTGAATCATCTTTTTTCTTATTTAGTCTGTCTACATTTGTGTGTGGTGATAGTAGGGCTAGACATTTCATAGATCACCTTCCAATTGCGTGGCAAAGTATTTCCCTGGAAAGACTAAGGGAAAGGACAGACAATCAACTTGGCACAACAACAACAAAAAAAGGAACCATTTTGTATGTTGTAGGTGGTATTTGCAATTTCAGCACAATATTAAGCACCAACCAGAGCAGTACATATGAAAAGGCTGTTTACCAGCCCTCTCCAAAGGGATTTTTCAAGTACATAGGTGAGATGCAAACAGGCAAAGATTTGATGAACGGCATTGAATGGGTGCCAACTTATTGCACAGTGCCAACCATGAATATTAAAACACGGAATGCGACAAGACTGTCTCAGATTTAAACTCCATATCTTAATTTTGAAAACCAATATAATAAAATACATGAGGAATAAATAATACCATTTAGAGGTCAAGAAATAAATTGTCGGGAACAATTTTGACAACGGATTTTCCACACAGCATATTCATCAATGTATCATTAAATGAAATGCGAGAATGGAAAGTATTGGTTCTACTATCATAGTACACTTGTTGACAGTATTCACCCAGATGACTATGTTATTATGATATGGGCACATCAATTGGATAATGCCAATGGTGAAAACTTCAGGCGGTCAATAAATTCAGAAAATGCCGGGCACAGACATAAAAGACAAATTTGAAGTAATCCTAATAATATGAATCCGAAGGATAGAATTATCAGACATTACCCATCCCTGTGCTTGGTGTTTTTATTACTGTCATGTCACACTTTTATGTAAGTTTGTAAATCATTTTTTAATTGCTTCAAAATCTTTATACATTTTTACATTATCAATTCACCTCATTATTACATCGAATTTCAAAACTTTCATTTTTGAAATCAATATTTTTAATCCATAGTTAGAAGAAAGCAAATTTTACATATAGTAGTATTCATAATTTATAAAAGTTACAGGTATAAACCACATTATTTTACTTAAATATTTCATTTTGCTCCATTAAGAGTAATGGAAAGGGGGGGGGGGGGGGATCGTTACCATGGCGAGAAGCGGATACAAGGTAACGTTATTATCTATGACACAATTTGTTTTAAAAATTCGGTGAAATAAACAAGTTCTGCTGCAATAAGTTCCTTATCCTTACCAGTGTTATTATGTTTATTTGTATTTCTTCTTTATACAATAATGTGAATTGTGTAGTCAGAGTAAATAGCTTTATGCCATCCTTTTATCCTGTAGCTTTTGGTGAAAAACAAGGCTGTGTTTTATCGCCGACTTTATTTTCTATCTAATATGTAAATGATTTAGTCTCAGATTTTAAAAAAGGTAATTGTGGTATTCAAACAGATGACATAATGGTTTCAATGTTATTATATGCTAATGACCTTGCACTGGTAGCACCTGATGCAGAGAAACTGCATAAATAGTTGGATATTTTTAGCAAGTGGTGTGAAAAGTGGAGATTGTGCTTAAATAAAAAAAAAAATCATAATTTTAGATCTAAATCCGTACAAAGAAGTAATTTTTTGTTTAAACGTGGTGAATTGTGTCTTAATTTTGCATCTTTTTATAAATATTTTGGTGAACTTTTGAATGAGTTTTTGGATTTTTCAATAACTGCCAAAGAATTGTATAAATCATCTAAAAGAGCTATTTGTTTTAATAAAGCAAAATTTTGAAAAACTGGTGGTATGTTTTTTTTATGTATTTACAAAACAATATGACTCTTTAGTAAAACCATTTTTTTCTTATGCTTCTGGTGTATTGGGAATTAATATGCATAATTGTATAAATAGTTTGCAAAGCAATGTTTGTAAATTTGTCCTAGGGTTAAGCAAGAGAGGTATTAATTAAGCTGATAGAGGTGATATGGGTTTTTTGTCAGGGTATACTCTATTAAAAGTTGAAGTTTTCAACTAATAGAATGTGACAATACCAGTATTATATCTAAACAAGTTCATACCTGGGCGATTAGAAGAAATGATGGAGTTTAACAGTTAGGTCGTACCAATAAGTTGATTGAAAATGTGGAAGATGTTATCAACTTGAACTTTTTATGGGATTTTTTACAAAGTTTTGAAAAATAATCTTGGTATCAGCAGTTATGGAATGATAACAGGAATGCCAATGTTAATAAATAAGGTTTTATATAGTGTTTAAAACTTGTATCTGTACGAAGCATTATGTAAAGTTTGTTAAAAATAGATACCACCAACGTATTTTATCTCTATTCAGAGCTGGTTCGTTACAACTTAAATTTGAAACAGGTTGATATTCTAGACCTTGTGATAGTGGTCAAATTGCAGATGAGAAGCACTTTCATTTTAATTGTTGTTTTTACTCTGATATCAGACAGGAATTATGTGCCTAAGCCTGTCTTTTAAATGTTGATTTTGATTATTTATGTGATATTGAAAACGCAGTTGTCTTATGTGTAATAAGAATATGGTTCCTATTTTACCTAAGAAAACATGTTGTAATCTAGAAGTTATTTTAACAAAAATTTATTTACGAACCACTTTTTACATGTAAAAAATGTTATCTTTTATGTATTACATGTCTGTTTTAAAGATAAGCGTCTCATAAGCCGTTTTCGGCTGGAATCTTTTTACTTAATGTTACGTTTTAATGAAATTGTGTATGTATACAGATATTGTAATGGATGGTGACACTTTAATAAAATAAATTATCTTGTCTTATCTTATCTGTTTATGGTTGGTAATCTTTTACCACTTATGGAAATTGAGAAATTTCTGTGTCTCATAGGAAACGCTTATCTAAATAACAAAACAAAAGGCATTTGTCTAGAACCTAATTATTGTTTTGAATAAATATGTGAAATTAATTTATAAAGTAATAAGGGAATAATACATGTAAAATTGTAACGTGATAAGCCAAATATCAGTTCAAAATAGATATCCAATGATTTGTTCCAAGCAATCTGTATGTGTTTTGAAATAGGAGTATCCAAACAAAATTTATGGACTCTTATTGGAATACCAATATAATGTATAACATGTGCTTCAAAATGAACAATTTGGATACGATTATTATTTTAACTATCTTCAAAAACCTATTAAACTTGTAACTGAGGTAATGTTCTAAGAAATTATTTATTAAGACTTGGTTACTGTGGAGTCATTAATATTCGTTGGATACTTATTTTCGTGGATTTCGTCGGTACAGGGGAACCACGAATTTAAATGTTCAACGAATTACAAATTTTCTAAAGGAATGTACGCAGACTTTGCCAAAACCACGAATTTAAATATCCACGAATATGCAAGTTTTTCTCAATCCACGAATATTGGTACCAACGAAAATAAATGAATCCACAGTATACTAGACTCTTTTTTTCTCCTTCATCCTGAGAGATGTCAAAGTTTTTCTCAAAATGCTGTAAAATTCTGGTTATAAAATTATGATAACCTAAAACTGTTCAACTTTCTGAACCAAAAACCCATGCAATATTGGCTAGTTCGATTTTCTAAAATCAGACTTGGAAGTTGACTTCCTCACGTCTTCGACAATGATCTGCACACTTCAATATACTGAAGTTAGGTAGACCGGGTATATTAGAATTAATTGATGGCCATGTTGGACCAGCATTGACGATATTGATAGGAAATTCTTATACTAGTATCCTTTAATATTTGGATTGCAATATGGCTTTAGGCATACACAAGAAATTTTGAAATTTTGTGTGCTTAAACGACAATGTCGGAAATAAGACGACAATAGCTTAGATTGTGAAGGGTCTATATGAAGACATTTACACAAAATACACACTCAATTGTGAATGTATACAAATCAGTCCTACTGCACTTAGCTACATTCGACAGACATTAATTTGACAAATAAAGGCAGGAACTAGTGTGCACAACATTTTTTTTTATTTTGTTCGAGAATATAAAACCATAACAATAATATCACGTTTAAATAAAATAAATAAATGAGCGCGATAAAACTGAGTGATAATAATCAAACATACATTGAAATATAATACATTACTTTCATAAACATTGTCAGTCTCTCTAATTACTCCAACGAATGAATACATTAGATAAAACCCAGAGACATTACACTAATGAAATAAATAAAGGCTAAAGCAAAGGTAAATTCATATGTTCCCACAGAGTTAAATATCTTAGGCTAAAGCAAAGGTGAATTCATATGTTCCCACAGAGTTAAATATCTTAGGCTAAAGCAAAGGTAAATTCATATGTTCCCACAGAGTTAAATATCTTAGGCTAAAGCAAAGGTGAATCCATATGTTCCCACAGAGTTAAATATCTTTGACTAAAGCAAAGGTGAATTCATATGTTCCCTCAGAGTTAAATATCTTAGACTAAAGCAAAGTTGAATTCATATGTTCCCTAAGAGTTAAATATCTTGCTGGGGTCTTCGTTTGATAAATGGTTCTATGAAATGATAAGCTATATATCAACTTAAAGGAAAACAAATATATATGAATACTATGATTCGGAAGTCCATATGTATAACTTTCGGATCACCTAATATTATTCTCATTTTATATGTGAGTTTGTAATGCCTTTACGACTTGTCTGTTATACGTGTATAAATGTACAAAAGTCATGTCATTTCGGAAAACTTTGTCATTCATGACTTATTTGTATCGTCTCCTGATGTTCTTCGGCATTCGTATTTTTCAATTAAGGCAATCGATCCCCAATGCTCCTCTTATCTACTCGAGACAAAACAGTAAAAGATACATTGACTGATGTTTGTTCATAGGTAACATATGTTGTATCTTAAACCCCATAAACAAGCTTTAGAGTAGCTTTTAACCCTGACTGTAGCAAATTAGCGTAAATCATTCATAATTATACCATGCCTACTTGCTTCACAGCAGGGTTACTAAACACTTCAAAATTTCTTATTAAAAAAAATTGAAAAAAATAATCTCATCGTAATGAGACAATTTTAACCTTGGAAGTCATCTTATATCTTCCGACAATCCATTTATTTTGAAGATTTTGATGGCGTTGACGTGTTTGAATAATCAACTCCATCTGTCCATTTAGAATAACGTTCTACATTTTCATAGTTGGAGTCTGTATGGTTTACAAAATGGTCGTAAGTTTCTTCCATTGAACTTTCTCTTACTTTTTTACAATTTCCGACATCATAAAGATCGTCTGTGACGTCATTGTGTAATCGTAAAGCCCCATAGGTCTTGTTTATAATGGCTTCTTCTCTGTCTAAGATAAATGATGTGTGGCTATATTCGCCGGAAGTAATAGCAAACCGTTTAGTTTTATCAATTATATTTGAATCTTTGTTTCGTTTATGGACTACAGCATAAATAGGCACTCCTTTCTGTTCATTCAATTCAATGTTTTCCTGTGTTTGTTTTGATGCAGATATATGTTTTTCCCCCTGAATGTCCACAGAAGGTCCATTTAAGTCTCTGTTTATCACATATTCAGAGAGTTTCGCCTGCCACCTTTTCTTTTTCACAATTGAATTTTGCCTGAAATGATGATTATATAATGAAGTACATTCAAAAACTTTTGAATTTGTTTAAATAATATTGAAAAAAAAGAAAACACCGTACAACATGCCTAGATTTTCAGATTCTTACAATCTTACACAACTTGTGATCATTAACTATGTTGTATTTTTAACTGTTTAATAGGGCCTACAAAAGAAATAACGACAAATTATTTGTTTTCCTCTCTTATGCAAGATGTCTTGATCTACTTTATCTATGACGAGTTCATATACCTATTCTTATCGATGAATCAAAAGTGTAATAATTCTATCAATTTGTCTTCAAGTGTAAGATAAGGGACTCTTGTGATAAGAATTGAGATACGAGTTATGTGCACACTTTTGTGCGACGATTGGTACTTCATGTATATATTCAAACAAATCTTTGTATTTTTTTTATATTTTCAAGTATTATCATATGATTTACATCGCCCCTGGTATAAGCAGTATCACACACAGTAACTCCAAATCCCAACTTCGATTGCCGATAAAAGAAATGTTTGTTTTTCAGAAAAGGTTTCGTCAAACATTTATCAAACTACAATCCTTTAGTTAGCCCTAGCGTGTACCTACTAAACAGCTTGTTCGTAAAGGTACGAAATCAATTTATGATGAGTGAATTTAAATCAGTCTTTTTACCTTATGTGAACGAGTACAGCAATGGAAAAGACCACCAAAAGAACTGCAACGCCACCTATGACAATGCCCTCCATCTTCTTACCTTGAAATAAAATAAAAAATAAAATACATGAGTGGATGGATATCTTTTTAATATACTTCTGTCTTAATTGTCCTTTGATTCGCGGTTTGGTTGACTCTTTATTTTTAATATCTAATGCAAATAAAGGTTTTTAACATATTAATGACATTTGATGATAATTGATTTTTAACGGTCCGCTTGAAATGAATTTTAAAAGCATCTTAGATTAGAAAAATTAAACATGTTAAAGGAAGGTTGAACAATTTCAAGAAGCCAATAATTGCCTTTCGCAGCTAATCAAAATCAGGACGAAAAGAATGACAGAACTGAAATGAAAATTTATAGTAAAAGATATCAATGATCTGGTAAATACTCACGTTAGGACATTCATTCGATTTCTAGACAGCAACATGTCAGGGCTTTACCGAGCAAAGTATTATTAATGGCAAGCAGTTTCACTATTTATTCTAACTTCAAGATATCTTATATAATATATGAGATATCTTATATAATTTAGTTTTTATAAGATATCTTATAATCTTTATAAGATATCTTATATCTTATAAAAATTATATCTTATAAAAAAAATTATATTAGATATCTTATATAGTTTATAAGATATCTCATATAGTTTATAAGATATCTCATATAGTTTATAAGATATCTAGCATAGTTTATAAGATATCTTATAAGGTAAATTATATAAGACATCTTATATATAATATAAGATATCTTACAAACTATATAAGATATCTTACAAACTATATAAGATATCTTATAAACTGTATAATATATAAGATATCTCATATAACATATAAGATATCTTATATAATCTAGTCTTTATAAGATATATTATATGTTATGAGATAGCTTATATATTATATAAGATATCTTATATATTATATAAACTATCTCATATAGTTTATAAGATAGCTTATATAGTTTATAAGATATCTCATATAATTTATAAGAAAACCATATTTTATATCTTAGAAAATTTGTTAGATATCTTGAAGTTAGAATAAATAATAGATAGTAAAACGGCTTGCCATAATTATTAGTTATCTTGGTGTTTTCAAGGGATTATGGAATTTTAACACGGTGTTAAAAATTCAAATTCCCATCGGGGATGTACAGAATTTTACACCGGTGTTGAAATTTCATTCACCCTGAGGCCCAATTCCGTACAACCCTGATTTCACCATGATACTGATGAATTTATTTCTTATGAAGCGTTCCTTTACTCATTTTTATAGCGGGATGTAGAAAACTTCCACTACACATTTTTACATACGCTGGGGTATCAAACTGACAATAAAATAGATTTGACATTTTCTGTGTCTATTTTGTTGAAAAATCCACCAATATTTGACCTATATGTATAAACGATGAAAGCAACGTGTGCATCAAAAACATTTTGGTTTTAAGCATCGAACGAAATTATAAGACGACAAAAGCAAAGTGCATCCAACAACAGTTTGTCAGAAATGTCAGTCTGAGAAATTTTTGCTAAAATTCGAGTATTTTATTTACAAAGTATGATCAAAACATATTCAAAGAGCAATTAACCCTAGGAAAATATTTCCCTTCCTAAACATGTTTTGTAATTGTACTACATGTATTTTCCCCATCATGCTTTTGTTAAATCTTATTTAGTTAAAGAATGTCTCAGTTTCACATTTCGATATTTCTTTCCATCAACTGTGATTTGGTAATCCTCTTGATTTTACATTAGATAAATTGCTTTTCCCTTGCAATCAATGTATTTCAGCTTATTGGATATTTACCTGCAGCTGGAGGGTGTCTACCAGTTCTATCATTCACATTCATGCCGTTGACATTTGTCATATCTTTGGTAATCCCCAACATTTCTAAAAACATCAGAAATGACCTGGTAACATATTTTGTCATAAATCAGACGATTGGTTGCCTCGTTTGAATTGTTACACATTTTGTCATGTCGGTGCATTTAATAGTCATACGGTATTGGTTTTTCTCATGGTTGAAGGTCGTACGGTGACCTATAGTTGCTTTACATGCACGTCATTTGGAAAGTTCTCTCATTGGCAATCATACCACATCTTCTCATATTTCGTCTTTATTTGTCAAATTTGATTTTGATATTTTATGACAAGTTTAGATTGTCAAATTCATGGAACAACGACATTAAAATTGGAACAATCCAAAACTAAGGCATCAGATGTGATAATGTAGATGTAGACCTCGCCCTTGTCTTATCTATCACTTAATGGAAAAGTGGAGAACACAAAAAGTAGAGGTACACAAAAAATCTGCATGTGAACTGCCTACAAGCATACAATGTAGCAGTGCGTTTTGAATATTCCCTATTAAACGATTTTTCACCTTTCAGTGTTCTCAGCATCATTTAAATATAAATATAATCGAATTCAAAAATGAAAATGAATAAGAAGCAAATTTTGTCATCTCGGGCCAAACTATAGTTTATTGACCGTCGGTCGTCTCCAAAAACCCTTATTGGCCTCAGTGTGTCTTTAATCTTTTCCATTGTTTTAGATGATCGACAGATCTATAAACTGCCATATGACATTGTTTCGTGCATTCATAAAAATGAAAAAAGAGCAATAATTTACCAGCACAGCAATATTAAATATCTGTTTTAGAAATTACCTGTAGTTTGTTGTGTGGTATGGACGGTTGTTTTTGTCTTTGGAGAACGTGGACGTGGGTGCTTACTTGAACCTACAAAATAATTAATTAGATTGAATATCAAATGAAATTATGATCTGTATTCAGGTATATATGAGGGTCTGGTTAGGGTTTATACAATAGAGAATAATTGGTCAATAGTACAGAAAAATGGGTCAAAAAATAAAGATGAGAGAATAAAGGCCTACAAAATACAAAATATAGAATAATGGGTTCTAAAATATAAAGAATAGAAAATAATTTACATAAAAATTAAAGAATACAGAAAGGAAGGAACCCATATATACTTCATATCCCAATTCTCTATATCAAAATCGTTATTAATACAATCTATAATAATACTAAAGGAACGAATTGGTCGGATTTTCAGGAAAACGCGAATCTCAAACTCAGAATCATGAGAATATTTTATATGCTTGCAAAAGTTCATTTAAGCTTAAAGAAAAATAAATAATGACTCGACTGTATTCATTAATATCTTTTTAAAGTGTTATTTATTATTTTCTAGTCGTTTTGAATAAAAAACAAAAGGGTCTTTCTTTCAAAACTTGTTACGCTTTTACAAAATCGGTTTTTTTTTTCTACTGCATGTATTTATATCAGGGTTTAATGCAAAGTCGATACAAAAACAATGGTACACAATTTCTTATATCTTCATATAAAAAACGCTTTTGAAATGGGAATTATATTGTTATAAAAAGGTATGTTTAACTCAAAAACCGAAATTAAAAGAATACATTAAAAATCATCTGTAAATAGGAAAGCGCAAGTACAGGAGGTCATAAATCGAAAAAGAATCAACAAGGTTAGCATTTTTGGCAAAAACGAATTCATGGAATTGTCTGCCTATAAATGCTACGCTACAACGCACGAATCTAATAACAAGTACCTGATAATATTCTTCACTTAATGTTAAACTGTCTTACTTTCTCATCTATTCCGAAGAGAATAATTTCTAACATCGATAAGTATGTCTCGATAGTTTAAAAATATATATCTGCCTCCATAGACAAATCAAGAACGATTTAGATAATGGAAACTTTGGGACAGTTTTTTAAAATATAGAATCCAGAAAAGATTTAATATCAAATTCACTGGAAGAGGTTTGCATATCATTCCGGTTTAAAGTTTCAGATATACATGTAATAGCTTAGCCTAGTAGTCAGAGCATGTATTTAGTCAAATCTAATACAGTTAGGAAGAAGCTAGAGAAATAGTTCATCAACCATTTGTGCAGCAGTTACTAGCAGTCGTCCATTAACTCTTAATGGAGAACATAAAATTTCCGTAGTGGAAATGCAATGGTTAAGTGACCTTGCTGAATGAAAATGAGATCAATATACATTTATCACCTCTCAGATTAAAGCTTTATTCATTATTATCTTCTTATAAAGTTGATAGATTAATATAGGATTTATACATCCGTTTGAAGTTAAATAAATGATCTTTGATCTATTAACAATACTGTTGTCTCGGAAACGTTGAGATCTCAGTTGATCACCAAGTGTAATGATACATTTTGTACAATGAAATCTGTGTTTGTTCTGTTATAAAGCTTTATAAAAAAAAACACGTATAAATGGTCTTGTTTCTTCACATACATGTAAAGCTCTTAGTATCAATAAAAAAATTATATAGAAGCGATGTATTTTAGTAACCGCGAGCTATGCTTCGTCGAGTTGTGATATATTTTCTTTTGACTGAATGTCACCACACCAACCATATCTGAATGAAATGTATAATTGTACATGTTCATGATGTAACAATTTGGTCAAGCTTACTGAAGTAATAATGCTTCTTTCCAGGATTAAACTCAGATATTAAGCTTTTTATTATACATGTATACAAATTTTAATCTAATAGGGGTTGATCAATCTTAACTGAAAATAGGGCTATTCAACTAAGTATCAGTCCATATAGCATTTATTCAATTTCCAAACTGAATAAATAGATATAAGAAGATGTGGTATGAGAGCCAATGAGACAACTCTCCATCCAAGTCAAAATTTAAAAAAGTAAACCATGAGTGCTAAGCGTGAAGATTCATGTCACTTCTTTTTTTAATGTCCGAATTATTCTTATACCAGAGAACTCGTCGCTAAATTTGAACATCTTAATTTCCGGTGATTCGTCTATCACTAATGATGAAAAAGAAAGCCTTTTTAAAGAATGTATATGAATTTATCAAATAGACAACGATATTTCTAATTGTATAATATAGCACAATAAAGTATATATATATTGTGTACAACCTTTCACATCATCACACATCATCTTTATTTATGATACTTACTGTTCTGGTCTGAGGAAAGTACAACCAGTGTCGGGCAAATGGCATTAGATGTCGTGCAAATAAAGCACCATGCATGATATTGGTAAATGAACTCAAATAATGATTAGGACTTTGTTTGATATTTGAAACCGGAATTTATACTTTTGTGATGCAACAAAATATTCTACAGCTATACGATTGTATGGTATATTAAAGTTTTTCTATTGCTTTTATTTTCATTGACCCTTACCGCATCTGGGAACGTTACAGTACTGCCATCTTATTTTCCTGCTGACCGTGTAACACCAAAGACCTCCTTTGTCGTTATGTGGGTTCCGACAGTAGTTTTCATGTTCTGAACCCATTGGATATTTGACGTGTAACATTTTCTGATCCCATCTCTGACACGGAATCCCACTGCTGGTCGTGTTGATTTGTCCTTTGTAAATCACCGAGCCATTTTGTCCAATTGTATAACAATCTTCTGAAAAGTACCAAAAACATTTTTAATACAGTTTTTTTTCTAATAATATGAACGTTTTAGAACATATTTCAAAGCTTAGAGAAGTTTTATCTTGTTTTCCTACTCAGAAATCATGAATTTGATCGACAAACGGTTTATATTTTTATGTATAACAAGCTAAAATTTCGTTCACTTCACTTTTTCTAACAACTTGAATTAACACAAGTGTTACCAACTACTATATTAAGGAACTTGAAAGTGCTAGTTCGTGTCGATGCTTATATTCTCAGTCCAGATTTCTATCGAGTTCTATCAATTAAGAAGCTTGAACAGTCAGCATTAACGTAATCCTTCTTTACATCTTTGGCAATATATATATTTGTGAAAATGTACTTTTGACCTATTAACAGCTGAATATACTTTTTAAATACATATATAAAAAAGGATTTTTCTCCGATTTAAACAATCCTTGCAGACTTTGTTTTCATATTTAGCAATTTGAAAAAAGAATAAAACGATTATTTGCAGACCACATATAAGATTTTAAGAAAGTTTTCTTGCTTTTTACATATTATAGAATTTCGTTTTACACCGTTTCAGATGGCCTTCAACAATGAGCTACATCTCAAGAAATCAAAAAACTGCCCTGTCGATATTATCAGTGTTATTATTATAATTATTATTATTATTATTATTATTATTATTATTATTCATTTTTTCCTTATATGCCTCATGCTTTTTACCCTTAGTACAAATATTCAAGTTACCTTGAGTACGAATCCCAAATCCTTTCACAGCATAAAAAAATAAATAAATAAGTGGTAATATCATCATTGTTATTGTTTAGTACTTCATGTCAATAACATTAAATATGTTTTGTGTGCATATCGGAAGAGGATGCGGATATCGCATGAATTGTAAGAGGATTAAAACTATTCGTGTTTATTGGTTAAGAATTTATTGAAGAAAACGGTCAAAATATAAAAGAAAAAAGACAAACGTTGAAGTTCAGACATACATCTAACACAATACATACACATCATCTTTTTTCGTCTGTTGTTGGAAAGCACTTGATTTAAATCAATTAAATGCGTCTTGGTTTAAACTAGTTGATTGTGATACGTTTTCTATATGTTAAAATAATAATAGAAAGAATGAAGTGATTGTGTTTACTATATATAAATATCTATATATATAAAAAAAATATTTAATTTGTTTATGTAAGCAAATTACTCTATAGATACTATATTCTTAACAAAGTCGAATCATACAGTACTGTACATCACTACTGAACAGTTCTCATGGATGCTCGTGACCAAAATACATTTCTCAGGCTCGTGCTCGTGGCCAAAAGTTAGCACTGTGGAATAACCTTCCGAATTTTTCCTTAAGACCAAAATATTCTGAATAACTTTACCCATGTATGTTCGCGATCAAAAGATAAGATTCTGCAATAAGGTTCCTCATGTACGCTCTTTTTCAATAGTAGGGACTGTGGAATAACCTTCCGCATGATCGCTCGTGACCAAAAGTTCTGATATAGCCTTCCTAAGGTACACTCGTGACTAAGAAAGTTGGGCCTCTTGAAAGGCTTCCTCATATACGTTTGAGACCAAAAGTTAGGATTCTGGAATAACTAGTCCGTGACCAAAGGTAAGCTTCTGGAATGATATTCCTCATGTAAGCTCGTGACCAACAGTTAGAATGGTAGTATAAACTTCTTCAGGTACGCTCTTGACCAAAAGTGAAGTTTCTGGAATAACCAAAAAGACCATACACAGGGACGCTCGGGAACAGAACATAGCATTCTAGAATGACTTTCCTGGTTCGCTAGTGACCAAAAGTAAGGATTCTGGAAAAATCCTACTCGTGAAAGATCGAGACCACAATTTAGGATTCTAGAATAACTTTCATGTCCGTGCGTTCGTGACCAAACGTTGCGATTTTGAAATAACATTCATTAGGTACGCTTGAAACAAAAGTTAGGATTCTGGAATAACCACAAGCAACAACAACCACTCTTGAAAATAAGAAATCGGGAGACCGTTGGTTCGACTCAAAATGGTTTCAAACTAAAAAATATTTCATTGGAGATGCTGCTTCTTCGCAAAGCACGTGTTATTTAGCAGTGAATGGATACCTGTAAATGTGTTTGCTTCCGGAGCCAGAATAGTGTATCCTGCAATGGTATGGTCTTTCTCTGTACTGGTACATAGTATTAAGCATGCACATAGGATACTGGATTTTACCAGGGATTCGTTCAGAGTAGCGGTCTTGCGCAAAACGCGTTTTACATTATTATCATGTTATGGTCTAGAATATGCATCTTATATTTAGAAAATAATGAGCAAAAATATAAAGATTAGAGAAAAATGGACAAAAAATAAAGAATAGAGAATAACGGGGTGCTAAAATATAAAAAAAATAAAGAAAAATGGACCAAAAATATAAAGAATAGAGAAAAATTACCTAAAAAATTAAAGAATAAAGAATTGAAGGACCCCATCCAGACCCTCAAATGCAACACTAAAAATCAATTGATTTTTTTTAAACACTTTTATGAGAGGAAACCACATTGACTATACATTGGGCAGTCTACGTTTTGATTGGTGAATCGGTCTCGTTGGAAAACTTATAACTTCTCAAAATTTTTATATAAAATAACTGAATTTATATCAATTTACAATAAACATTTCTGTAGTCCTGAAAATACACCGAATTAATAAACATTTTCCATTTTTCAAGCAATGTATACATGTACGATCATAAAAATGGTATTATCATAGTTGGCTCCAAGGTCTGATATGGCAAAAAAAAAGTATAACAAAAATACCGAACTGCATGGCAAATTCAAAAAGAGGAAGTCAATAAAAACTGACAAAATCAAGCGGAACAAGAGAAAAACAACTGCCATATTCCGGACTTGGTACAGGCATTTTCCGAAGAAACAAACAAAACCTTTGAAAAAACATATGCTGGATTAAATTATCTGTTTCTAAACTATTATCAGACTTTTTGAAAGGTCAATGCAAAACTTTCATGTTCCTAAAACTTGGAGCAAATTGGAAATTCATATAAAGACTTATTTTCTATTTAGTGAACTCCACATGTCCCTGGTTAGAAGCATAAGGAATTTTGGAATTTATAATCTCATTTACCATGATGGCATTAATATTGATTAAACAGTAAAGAGACGACAAGCTTTTTAGCTTACATCTGTGATTTTGTTATGCGACAAGTGAAATATGAATATGAATACGACTTATAATATCTTCTAGAAAATAGATACTCAACGATCCAATTAAAATCTTCATGATACATGTATTTATTATTTATAATTTACCATACTTAATTGTATTTGGAATATGATACTGAACGCAAAATTTAATCAAATACATGTATAAATGTGATATGTCGTACGTAAGCCAGTCAGTCGTGTATATGAAGAAAATAAAAATGATCTTTTACGTATCTCAATTGTACAAGGACGATTACGACAACATCTAATGTACTTTCTTTCAGTGGAATTTTTGTTTGAAATGTGCGGCAGACAGAAAAGAAGAAAAAATAACATAGAACGTGTAACTGTAAGAGTGGGAAGCCATTTTAAGGCAGTCATTTAAAGTTTATCTACCTCATGAGCATCTGGATTATACGATTTGATAATATGATTTCTGGTTTGAATTGACATGAATAAAAGTGATTATTATTCAAAAATAACTCCTATCATTGGCGTAAATATCGGCATCGGATTTTTTGCCACTGTAGTGAACTTCATTGTTTTTACTGTGTTCATAACATCAAAAAAACTACGTTATAATTTGTTTTACAGGCTTTTCTTTGTTATTCATCTATTTCAATTGATAGGATCTTTTGTAATTGTTGTTCAATACTGGATTTTTCTAAATGATTTGACTATCAAATTTGTGTGCACATTTGTTTCCGTATTAGGATCGGCTACCAGAATAGCGTCCATTACCCAAACAGGAATTGTGGCAGTTGATAGGTTTCATGCGTCACTCAGGTTACCGAAGTCTGTTCTTCACAAAAGACGATCAAAATTGGGAAAAGTCTCTGTTTGCATGTGTTTTTCAGTGTTCTTCTTATTTTGCATAATTGGTGGAATATATGGAACCGATAATTGTGCATCAAAAATAGTTTATGGCCAACTTACTGTTTATGTAAGCTCGATAATAGCATGCTGGATCGTCATTTGCGTATTTGTTGTGCAAATTCCACTTTGCATTGCAACATTTTTTAACATTCGAAAAATGTGCACGACTGTAAGAGTTACTATTCAGTTAGTTAATGTTCGGTCAAATATACAAGAAGACAAATTGGACAGAACTCAGGACAAATTTCCAACACCAACTGCACAAGGGAACATAAAACTTAAAATCCAAGCTCTGAAAGTACTGTCATTACTGGTTACGACATATGCTGTGATATTTTTCCCCCAAATATGTATAATGATTTTAGCAAGGGGAACTGATAATCCTAGAGAGAAGTTTTATGACTACGGCATGTTTCTTCAAGGCATTAATTACCTTGTAGATCCAATTATTTGCTTGATAACTGTTAAACCTTATCGTGAAGCATTCGATACATTATTTGTCAAATTTCTATGTTGTAAATAGTCAATAATGATATCAATTACTTTTTTCATAAAAACTAATGTGCGTATTTGTGAAAAAGAGATAATTAATGGTTCATTACTGTGACAGTAGTTTGTTGCATGTGCAAGGTATAAAAAGTAACATTGTTATCAGTTTTCGTGCCAAATCAAGAATAGAAACCTAATAAATTTATTTACAATCATAATTGGAAGATGATGTCAATACATAAAAAAATATGCAAAATCACAAATGCACTGTCATTTTATGAATTTAAAAGACAAAAGTA